TAAACTTTTATACAAAATACAGTTTATATAGTCAATATCACAAGGTTAGAAAGAAAACCAAAATTTTCATCATTACCTGGAAAACTGTGGAGAAACCCACCAACATATCTTTGAAAAATGTTTCAACATTTGGAAATGTGTAATGTAAAAAATAGTCAATGGACAGTTCAAAAATAGCTGGACAGATCTGTGCTCTAATGGCGTATACACACGATCTTAAGTAATCCCATGCAATTTTAACTTTCAAAACATACAGACTTCACAGAAGATTTAGCAGGATCAGTCGGATAGGTAAAGAAAGCACTTGTGATGAGAAAAAGAACATCCCAACAACTGTGCACTTTCAAAGGGTGAATTTTATGGGGTGTGAATTATATCTCAATTAAAGAAGATTTTAAAGAAAAGGGCATCCCCAGTGTTTAAGTTCTACAGCCAGAACCTCCTGGTCATCACCTCTGGAACTGCCTGCACTATAGCTCGCTCTTCTGTTTCCACTCCCCTTCCTTTGCCCACGTCGCATCACCTAATATTGCACAGACTTTGAATTTCTCATGCACCACCCTGCTTGCTGCGCATAAGAAATTTAACTCAATTTTCTGAATCACCCTCTCATGGACTCTTGGTACTTCCAATTTCTTCTTCATCTTTTTGAGGGGGAGATGGAATTACGATTCCACAAAGCTTTGATTAATGACAAGCTCTCTGAGACAAAAAGAACGGGACTGAATATTTACCATTGCTAATAAATGCCAGGGGCTCTGCTGAGCCCTGAATGTCTTTACCCTATTGTTTCTCACGAATACTTCCAAGATCAGGATTCTTATTCCATATGCTAGATGGAAACACTGAGCGGTTTCCATTCAGACGCCCAGTGTTTATTCACCCATGATATGGATCTTATGTTCAGAGGGCACAACTTTAAAAACCCCTTACTGCATCGGACTAATTCAAGCCAGGGAAAACTTACTAAAACAACACAAAGCTTATAAAAAGTGGCATTGTTTGCTGGTGCATTTGGACACCACACTTCAAATAATCCTGAAGAACACTCCCATTCTAGGAGACAGGATGTTTATGCAAATGTGGTCTCCTAATAATACAAAAGAAAGGTGGAAACATACAAGATTATTTCTTTATTTTAAAATATATTGATTTTTTTTTTTTTTTACAGAGAGGAAGGGAGAGGGATAGAGAGTTAGAAACATCGATGAGAGAGAAACATCAATCAGCTGCCTCCTATACACCTCCTACTGGGGATGTGCCCGCAACCAAGGTACATGCCCTTGACCGGAATCGAACCTGGAACCTTTCAGTTTGCAGGCCGGCGTTCTATCCACTGAGCCAAACTGGATAGGGCAAGACTACTTCTTATAACTAAGAATAACACACAAGCCCACCGGCGTGGCTCAGTGGTTTAGTGTCAACCTATGAACCAGAAGGTCACCATTCAATTCCCGGTCAGGGCATATGCCTGGGTTGCAGGCTCCATCCCCAGTGTGAGGGGTGTGGGAGACAGCCGATCAATGATTCTCTGTCATCACTGATGTTTCTATCATTTCTCTCTCTTCCTCACTGAAATCAATAAAAAAATATTTTTAAAAATTAAAAAGAAAAAATAACACACAAATCATTCACTGGGAACCTAGGCTTATTGCCACTTTGATGGCTCCTGGGTTTGCCAGAGCCAATGTAATGGCTTTCCACTTTAATTTGGTTTGCCTCAGAGTTCCATCTGCCATCACTTCCTCCTCCCACCAATAAAACTAAGTGAGGCTAATTTTGGTTGCATTCGACTGGACAGAGAAAGAAGAGCTGCAGAACCTGGAGTTCTTGGTGATCCTGATGCTTGAAGTTTGCAAAATTAATGATCTCTCAACTGCTTCAGCCACTGACTGCTGCATGGCTGATGGCATTCCGGAAGGCCTTGGTTCTGAGGACTGCTCCTGGGCCTTATCTCGCAGTATACTATTGCGCTTGGAAAAGACAGCCTGGGTTCAAATCCCAGCTCCACCTCTTCCTCGTTGTGTGACCTTAACAAGTTACATTATCTCCCTGTGCCTGTTTTCTTATCTAAAAATGGGGATGGGAAGAGCTCCTATCCCCTAGGGCTGTTGAGAGTGGTCAGCAATCTAACACATGAAAAGCACTAAGAACAATGCCTGGCACCGGCTGTGCTATTTAAGTTCCTGTTAAATAAGCAATTCAAACCTAAAAATGAGCATTGTTCACTAAAAGAAATTGCTTTCCTTATAGTATTTTGTTAACTGATTTGTACACGCTTACTTGAATTAGAAATAGGTAGAAATTAATTTGTAAGGCCTCTATTGTTTTGCATAAATGCAATCAGCTAGAAACTCAGAAAGCAACAAAAATTTCCCTTTGTGGGAAAATGGGTTAAAAATGGCCTCTCCTATTGATGATATTGCCCCAAATGATTGCTGAGCAGCTCTGCAGCTGTTCATAAGACACAGACTTGCCGTTACCCCAGGCAGATGAGGCAGAAAGAAGAGAAAAATGGCTTTTGCTTTAGACCCCCAGGGAGTAAAGGTCCAGACAAGATCATCAACTGCCACTGGCTACTTCAAACTCCAGCAGAACAAAGACTGGCAGATCTCTGGGCTTTATAGAGAGCTTCCCCAGCTCAGAGACACAGTTTAGCCCTGTGGTTGCCAAACTGAGGCTTGCGAGCCACATGCAGCTCTTTGGCCCCTTGAGTGTGGCTTTTCCTAAGCTTTAAGAGTACCCTAATCCTATCTAATAATAGACAACATGGTAGTTAACCGTAACTTTGCTACCCTTCCCATTGGCTAATCAGGGCGATATGCAAATTAACTGCCAACC